TGTGTGTGTGTGTGTGTGTATATATATTTTTCATACCTTCGGTGTATAGGACGAAAGCAGATTTTGACATCAAATTTTGGGGTAAAAAAGTGCGTCTTACACACCGAAAAATACGGTGGTATTCAGTCATAAATGTTATTTGGTTTATTAATTTATATATACACGGAGTCGGTGCATGACATTCACTTAACAATGCACCAAACTTGCATGGTTAGCTAAATGTGTAGGACATTTTGTTTGGTTTATATTAGATGGAATATCTGATTATATAGGCCACTTTAATAGGATATACGATATTAAAAACAACAACAAAAAACCCTTAAGTTCTGGTACCGTTACTGTAAAGACTAGGCCTACATGACATACTCGTATGAATGAAAATATCGGGACATGCGGCAGTGTCTCGTGCGGCCAAAACACCCTGCTGCAGGCCACATTGTGTGTTTTTAACAAGAGCGATTTTTCCACCTTTTATATCTCGGACCGTCGTGATCCAAACTATCGCATATTTTAAGTGTATGTACTCTACTGGACTCTTACTTCACGTACCAATATTTAAGGCAATCCACTAAGAAATACCCGATATATAACTTATCCTATATATATTTTTTTCTTCTTCGCACCAAAAGTACGGAAAGTGTATTTGATAGAAAAATAATTTAACTTTTATGGGTTAGACTCTACAAGAGTCTTCAGAACATCAATATCAATTCCAACATGTCGGCCCCTGCCATCACAGTTTTTAAGGCTAAGGGCACCTGAACGAAATTTGTTGAACCATCGTTGACACTTGCGAACGTTCAAAACATTTCCATAAACTTCATTGATATTCTTTGTGGCTATAGGGGCGTTGTTTTCCTTCTTGTATTCAAACAGCATTACGTGTCAAATAGAGTATACTAAACTTTACACATTATATAGCTTACATTAACATGACGTTTAGGCGGTTCGTTTAAGTATTATAAGTGATGTACGTTTTTCGGGGGGTGGTTAATGAAAGTGTTCCAAAACGCGACTTTAATTTTTTGACGACCTAATATTATAATGTAAGCTTTACTCTTTTCACGTAGTCTATTTTATGGTAGATAGCGTAAATTTATTTTATAGGCTAGGCCTACTGTTTTGCTTTTTTTACACATAACCTTTTAATTCTAGATACATTTTTGTGTGATTGAGGTTAAATATGATGTATTAGTAGATGTATAACTAAGTAAGTCTATCTATTGTTACGACAGCGGAAGTCGCGTGACGCTTGAAGCATGCGCGCTGAAGTTTCTCGATTTATCGGGGAACCCCGCGAATGTCCGAGTGTTTGCCAGGCGCCGTCTTTTTTTTAGCATATAAGCCTGGCAAAGAAAGCCAGCGATGGATTTAGATATAGGGACAAATAATTGAGTCAAGTGAATAGAAGTCACGGTAAGTCGTTTCTGTGTATTGTAGTCGCATAGAGCGAAGTTATCGCGCTTGTGAATCGCTGTGATTTATAGCGTGTGTTTATAAAAGTTACTAAGTTTAGAGTGGCGAGATACGTACTGACTGTGAAATTACAGTGTATTAAAAGTTGTATCGAGGAATAATAAGCTGGGTTAATCAAGAAAGGACTTGTATCGCT